TTTACTTTTACTTGTATTTTGTATAAATTAGTAAACTTAATTTTCATCTTTAGATATTTGCGGCAGTCTTAAGTAAAGTTCTCTTAAAGTTAAAATTCTCGTATTTCATTTTTTTTGTTTCGTTTTATGATTTCCCTGTAGGATCGATACTAAGGTTTTTTAAAGATAATCCTACATTACTTGAAACAATGCATATACTTGCGTAGTGCCATTGGTGAGAAAACTATTTCCTTAAATTTTATCATATTACATTTGTTCTCACTAGCCACTAAATATAATTTGGGTCAAGTTTTAATCATATTAAGGAATATAAATATCTGTGTAATTGCAAGTCGGGTCAGTTAAGTCCTAATCATAGAGATTAAGGCTCAAACATGGGTTTAGATGAATCATGGAGGAAATCGGGTGTGTGTGTTAGATGGGGGGGGGGGGGGGGGGGATCATGAAAGAGCTTCCTCCTTTAGCCATAAGTGGCAAAGTGGCTTGCATGAGGCTCATGCACGGCTCCTTGGCTTTTCTATGACTTGGATGAAGCCATATGGCTTGCCTAAGGCTCATGCATGGCCTATATGGCTTGCATTAAAGAGGTGAGGTGAGAATTTCAAGCTCATGAATATATTTTCATGAATTCCAAGTTTAGCTAAATTAATCATGAAAATTTTCACCATCGGTTTAATCGAATTTGTTGTGGGGGTTGATTTTGTCCTGTGGGATTTAGGTTAAAATGGATTGGAATTTTGGCTTGGTTTAGCGGACTTTTAGGATGGGTTATAAAGGGTTGATTTTGTGCAAGATGATGGACTTTGGGTATGAGTTTGATGGTGTCTAAATTGTTCGTGATGGGCTGAGTGGAGTTTTTTGTTTTGAATTTTTCATGATGGAATTTTGGACTTGGGCTTGGTGAATTTGGATTTTGCATGTAGTATATAGATTTGGTGGATTTTGGATTTGGGGTGGACTTGGGTGGATTTGGGTAGATTTGGGTAGATTTGGGTGGATTTGGGTGGATTTGGATGGATTTGGGTGGATTTGGTGGATTTTAGGTGGATTTGGGTGAATTTGGTTGGCTTTTGTTGGATTTGGTGGATTTAAGTGGATTTGGGTGGATTTGGATGGATTTGGGTGGATTTGGGGAATTAGGGTGGATTTGGTGGATCTGTTGGGTTTGGGAAAATTTTGAAGATTTTTTTTTGTTTGGTGGGAAAGTGTATATGAGTGAGGGTAAGTGTGTATGTGATGAAGTGAGATGAATGATGATGTGAAGTTTAGGGTGTGTGTGGTGATGTGAATGTGTATGTAAGGTAAAGTGAGTTTCCAAGTCATACAGAGTTTCCCTAAGGCCTCATGATCCTATGAGAATTCATTTTTTATTTTCAACATATTGGTCCTAATCAACTCAATAAAGTATTGAGGATTTGAGTCCACCCATGTGAAACTTCACAAAAGAGTCAAGAAGTGGCTAGAACTTTTAAGTGGGGTGGATCCCATCACTAGTCCTCTAGGATAATCAATAAGAAAGTCCTATGACTAGATCCTAAGTTTAAGGAGAAAAAAAAAAACTAGACCCACAAAAATGAGGTCAACAATAAGCAAATCTCCTCTTTAGTAAACATTAATAATATGAGTTTCAATATATAGTTTCAATTAAGGATATATAACTTTTTATGCATATCAAATCCCTTAAGGTATAGCTTTTGACTATAAAACATGATTTAGTTGAATACACACAAGTGGATCTCTAATATGTTAACTTGCGGCTGTTTTAATCTAGAAAGATGTAATTCAAGTTGAGTGGCACTGAGTGTTAATAATTGGGCTATCTCATTTACTGATTTCCATAAGTAATCCTTATATCTTGAGGGATATAAGGTCTTATATCTTTTCATATCTTCAACCTAAAATTTACCTATTAGACATGTGTTTTCCTTAATTTGATATCTAAAGGCTTTATTTGGATAAAATACTTCATAATTTTTGACAAAATAGCTCATAGACAAGCTAGGTCAACCACCTTTTATGATTGAGTTATCTCAAGCTTAATAAACTAGAATGTTGAATCCATAATATCTTGACTAGATTGTTTATTCTTTTATTATATTTTTTGCTAGTACTTGTTACACTTTATAATTCTTCACTTTTCTTCTGACCTTTTGTTGACTCAATAATTGACATTATATAGGTTTTATAAGGAGAAATAGTTGTCTCATTTTATTACAATATCACCACTATTTTACTGATTGATTTATCTTCAAGCATATATTGATGGCAATCCTTAAATCATAGTCTACTCCTTGACGTTATCATATTCAAATCAAAATAAGAACATACCAAGAGTGCTTCTATATATATCCTTGAATATAATTAAGCTTATGTCATTTATTACTTTCCGATAAATGATCAACTCATGTTTCTACTACGATGATATGATTTCATATGAGTATATTACATAAATTGATAGAAAATTTCTTAGTCAGACTTTATTGAACCTCTTCCCTTATCTATTATATGGCTATAAATAATAAACTTGTATATTTAAATTATTGAGTTGGTATTAAATGCAACCTAAAGTATCTAAGGATAATTTAAAACTATATGTTAATGTATTATGGTAGAAATATATTTCCAAGAGAATATACTAATTTAATTTTCAGTCAAATCTAAATTATCAAAAGTCAATACTTGTATATGTCGATCTTCACTTTTTGTTGAAGAACATTAAAAAAAATATTATTAACTGTACCAGTGAGGTTGAATATGAGATTATATGTAAATTCGTTAAGGATATGTATCATTTAAATGATAAACTAAACCGAAACAAACTTATTTGGTTGATTCAATAAATGATGTTTTCTTTTTTATCTTGGGTTAAGGGTTGTTTAAATTATGATTAAATTTCATTTTTATTTTAAAAAAAATTAGTGTAATTAAACTCTAATTTTAATTAGTAAAAAGGCAGAGCAATAAAAGGGGAAGTGAGAATTTGAGAAAAATAAAGGTGATAAAGTTTAAAGTGCCGCCCACTCTTTTTGAAGCCAAAGGCCCAAAAGTTCAAGGCAAAGCTGCAAAAATTGAACTCAAGACCACATAATTGTATCAAAGTGAGGTTCTTGATAAACCTAAGTTCCTCCGTTGCCATTCTCCATCATCTTATTTCTTAAGTAATCATATCAATCTCTTCATCTAGATTTGTACTGTGCTATGATTCCCTTATTCCTTCATCCTCACCCTTTTACTTTTCATTAATTATCTTCTCTTAGGTCTTACTTATTATGGATGTCGTGTCTATTTTCTTATTCATTCCTTTCTTTCTTTTTTAGCGCTCCAACCTCTTTATTATCTAAAACCTTACATTTTTCTCTAGAAAATTTATTAATGTTTTTTTTAACATTTTGCTCTCCTGGAAGTAGATATATTATTATTTAATTAGAAATCAAATATTTTTTGTGAGTTAGGAACTTGTAGAATATAAAATTTATTCAAACATGCTTATCAATTACAACATATATTTATTTTTCCAGTGACATACTTAGACTTAAAAACACATATAATAGGTGTAAATCCCTAATAATAACATTGCTCTAAAATTAGATCATTAAGGACAATAATCTCTTCAATTAGTAGACTTCAATGATCAATAATATATGGAACTTAAATCAAATATTAGGGGAAACAAATTTAAAATGTGTTTATAGTTCTATACTTGATATAAGGATCCATTCAAGTACTTATTGTTGCTCTCTTCTTACATGGAATAATAGGTTTTGCAAGCACCTACTTTAAATTACATGTTTCAATATTTATTATTACTCTTAAATCTTATACAGGCTAAATTCAAATTATTAAACATTAAGTAAATTTTGGTCTGTTTGTGGGTAGAGTTTGATTGGTGTGGTTTTTCATATTTTAGATCAAAATTTAATTAGTTTAATGAATCGGTCAGTCAATTCATCCAAATCCTTTGAATGGATACTATAAAAACAACTAAAGAAATATTCAAGCTTCACAAGTTCACATGCATTCTCGAAATAATTATTGGCATAAATAAGCCAGTAAATAAGCAGAAGATAAATGAGCCATTTAATATTAGGATGATGTACATACATGCCACTTAATTCCCATGTACATACATGCCACTTAATTCCCATGTATATACATGCCACTTAATTCCCATGTATTTATATATCTAACACCAAATTCCACACCCACACCCACACCCACACCCACACCCACACCCACCCACACCCACACCCACCGGTTATGCATGAAAATATATATTTCTTATTTTAAAAGCTAAATTAGTTATATTTTTGATGTGATATAGAAGATTTGAGTTACATAAATGTAAGAAAATAAGTTTTAATTTTAAAGATGTAAATACATAGAAATTGTGTGGTATGAATGTACATAGCACACAATTCTAAGATTTTTACATATCTCACACCTAAACTTTTCATATTTACATATTCAGCCATTTCATACTTGGAAGATTTACATACATATCACTTAATTTTTATGTATTTACATATATTTCACATAAACTTCAATTGTTATACATATATGCTAATTTATCTATGCATAAAGTATGTATTTCACTTTTTTTAACTTTAAAAGAGTGGAGTTTTATATATGATGTGAAATATTTATTATAAATTAAAAAAAAAAATTAAGTTTAAGTGTTAAATATGTATATACATAGAAATTGGAGTATATATGTAAATAGCACACAATTCTAATGTATTTACACATCTCACATGTAAACTTTCGTATCTATACATCAACACTCAAATATTTAAATCCCTTAAAAATAATATAATTGTCATTTTATAAAAATAAAATATATTTTTTTTATATATAATTTTAAAAAACAAAATGTATTTATGTAAACATGAAAGTTTAGGCTTTACGTATATAAAAATATAAAAATTATGGGCTAGATATGTAAATTTTCCGATTTAATTAGAATCATGGACCACGACTAGAGCCAGTTATGGAACGGCTGATTTTACCTTGCAGGCATACTCCACCTCTACTGTTAAAATATCGGCAAGTCCACGAAGTTAGGGTTTGCAGATTCTAGCCTTCCGCACCCGGTCGTCTCCTACGTTTTAATCGACTCCCTAGGCTTTTTCTGCTTTGTTTATCTCAATGGAGAAGGAGCTATTAGGTGCATTCGATGCTGCTGAGAAGGCTGCGGAGGCGGCAGCGGCCGGCGGTGGATTGGCGGAGGAGGATCGCTGCGTGGATGCCCTAAAACGGCTGCGGAGGATGGATGTCACCACAAAGGATCTGGTGAACACACAGGTGCTCCTAAGATTCTATCTTCTGATTTAATTTTCTTTCGGATTTTGAGCTGCTGTTTTTTTTTTTACTCTTTTTAAATTTTTTTTTTCGATTTTGAGTTGTTGAAGCTTGTTGTTTGTTGTTGTAAGATCCCGATTTCAGGAAGATTTTAATTGAAACTTTTTTTTTGGTGTATATTGATCATACATCTGATTATTTTGAGTAGTTATCTGAACTGGTTTTGTGTGAGTTCTAGAAATTTTTTTCATATTTCGCTCATCTTGCTTTCTCCTGCTGATTTATGTGAATCTTTTTATATGTACTTTTATTTTTATTTTTTAAGATAATATTTTAGAGACTGTTTGATAGCGGGAGTTAACCTAAACTTTGCCAATCAGCAAAAATGACAACTTTAAATCCCACAGGATCTAAACTCCCTTTTCTCCTTCTTTTTGCCTTAAATTCCGGATTTACTAATTGCCGTTGGAAGATGGATTTACGCGATGCAGAGGACCTGAAGCGCGCGAAGCGTGGTGGGATGAATGAAGAGAAAGGCGAGAGTTAGTCGGGTAGGAGCGGAGTGGAGTGGAAAGGGGAGATATACGGTAGTTTTGGAGATCTTTGTACGCTGCGATCCCGTCGTTGTCTTCCCAGCTAGCTCTAGTCGCGATTGTTTTCGGCTATGGGAGGAGGAAGGGGAAGGTAGGCGATGGTCTCGGGCGAAACTGGGAGACGGGGAAGCCAGGTAGGCGAGGTTTGCGGCGAGGAGAGGGGGGAAGGAGAAGATAGGTTTCCAGATTTAAAATAATTTTATTTAAGCTATTTTTAATAATTTAAGTGATTAAAAATTAGTAATTAATATATATATATTAAGATAATTATAATTAGATGAACTTATGTGTAACTGCATTGTTATTAATTAACAGAAATGAATTACTTATTAAAATTTAAGTAATTTGATAAAATTATAATTAATTAATAATTAGTCTAAAAAAACTACTTGATGATTGATTAATGGACAAGTCTATTGCTTGATAAATATTTAGTTTAATAAATTTTTATTAATGATTAATTAGTCTAGTAAATATTTAATTACTTATTAACATAATTAAAAATAAAATTTTAAATTTAATTTTATAAAACTTAAATAAGCTGCCAAATAGTTTCACATAGTTTAGTCTGATTTAACATCTATCATACCAAACAATTTTTAATATTTAAGCACATCAATATTTACAAAATTCAACTTTATTGGATTTACTAGATCTTATACAAGTTAAACTACTTGCATCTAGACAACCCCTTAAGGTGTCTGCTTACCACATCATTCTTTTTTATTTATATATTTAACACTATCATATTTACATGCATAACATTTTTGTGTTATAAACCTATGCATGAAAAGTTGTATTTCACTTTAAAAAAGTTAGTGACGGTGCTAATTTTTTATTTGATACCGAGCATTTTAGTTCTATGCATGTAATATGAAAATTTAGATGTTAGATATACAAATACATAAGAATTGTGTGGAATGTATGTAAATGCCACATTTATTGATTTGTTAGGTTTGGTTTATTTCTAGCATCGTGTTGTTTGATACTGGACTTTAGATACCTCTGGAGCCTGTATTATTAGTTTACTAATTGTATTACTTTCTTGCAAAGCATGCTATAATGCAAAGTGCCTTTTTTGGATGCCTGTTTGGTGGGAGTTGAAGCCTACCAACAAAAGTACTATGAGTGCTTGTTAAAAACTTTGATTTCTGTTTTACTGGAGAAGAAGGTTCTTTTCTGCTTTTTTAAGATCCTCTTGAAGCAAGATAAATCCACTTCCAGTTATTTGGGCTACATCCTATAACAGTAGAGAAAATAATTCAGGTTGATCTGATACTTCCTGTAATTGGAAGCATCTGTGTTATTTACCTGTGGGATCAATTACTTGTATTGGGGCCTGACGGACTCCACTAGTGTGGCACTGTTTGCATTGGGCAGAGGTTTTATGTTACTTGATTTTATATGGATTTGGTAGCTGCAAAGAATTCTTCTTTCTTCTTCGTCATTTTACCTGATTTGTTCTCTTCAGTCAATATAGTTGTCTCTTAGTAATATAGAGTACAGTTTAGGGCCTTTTGGCTATCCTCTCTAAGAGTATTTAGGAGATATGTGCCTTCTCTATATATTTTTGAATCTAGACTTAGATGTTGGTGAGTAGTGCTGCATGATTGTTCTTTCTATTAAAGTTTCACGGTTTCATGCATTCACTTTTCGGACTTCTTGTTGAAAAATGTCTAGGCTTTGATGTGTTAGAAATATTGCAAGCGTCATGATGGAATAAATGTGGAGAGGGAGGCATTTACTGGCTATTCTTTTCTTCATTTCGATACAATCATCAGCTAGATCATGCCTTTTTCCATATTTTTATCAGAATGTAATGCTTGCTTGTCATTTGGTTTTGGGAAATTCACACACATTGCACACAATTCTGACAACTAAACTGTCATATTTACATACGCAGCACTTTGGTGCTTGAAACCTATGCATGAAAATGTGTATTTCACTATTAAAAAGTGGTAATAGTATTATTTTATGAGATATTAAAGATTTGAGTGCTATGTGTGTACATATGAAAGGAGATGTGTAAATACATAAGAATTGTGTACTATTTTTGTAAACGCCCCTTTGTTTTAAGTGGTTTGCAAGTTTCACTTTTTTTGTACATGCCATGCTTAATTGACAATCTTAGGTTATTAATATAGTATGCGTAGGTATGTTAAAAATTTTTGTTAGTGGTTGATTTTAAGCTCTACATTTTCTGTGTTTGAGTGTTGATCTTTTCTTGGTTTTTAGAAAATCAGTATCAATGATCACTGACACTGATACATATAATAAACTTGTTTATGGTTTGAAGTTTGGTCCCTAAATTTTTTTTAATTTTGAACTCGAAGCATGTATGAAGAATAAATTGTTATAGCCCACATGTGATGCCAATTTAGGAGAGCTTGTAGAGGCATTTATTTAGTCTGCTTAGGAAAACTGGTGCAAAGAAACTTTTAACTTCAGGTCATCCTGAAAGCTTTTTGATACTTTTTCAAATGATCCTTCTTAAAATTCCCTTCTTTTGGCCATTAGATGATTATATTGACCTTTATGAACTAAATAACCTTTTTAGTATCCCTCCTTTTGTATGCTTTCAGTCAACAACTGGGATCATAGCTATGAGTATTTTTATTAAATTTAATCTTTCATTTCTTCTTGCTTGTTTTCAATGCACTGTCAAAGAAGCTTACGGCATATTTCACCTGCAAAAATTTTGCTTGGAGTTTTGGAATAATATAGCTTGAAGGAAAGGGTGTTAATGGTTTAATTGTCAATTTCTGTGGGGATGCAAATTTAGGAGAGCTTGCAAAGGCATCTATTTAATAAATATAGGTGAATTGATCCAACCAAACTGTATGAATATCAGGTTATCCTACAAGTTTTTTTTTTAATTTTATTGGAAGCATTCAGAATTACCCTTCTTTACCTCTTGAGTTTCGCCATGCTTTTCTGTGCTTTCTTTTCTTATTAAATGGATCATGGCTATCAATCCTTCAAATAGAAGAAGCTTCTCATTTCTTTTTGCGCGTTTTACATTCTTTCGAAGAGGCTTCCAGCAAATGTTATCTTTTAATTTGGCTTTTGACGTGTAATTACTTGAAGCATAGGGCGTTGACTTGCAAAGGTACTTCTAACTTGTTAGGTGAGGGGCTGCCCTTTTCCAAAAATTTTTAGATATGAGTTGAAGATTATTAAATTATAAAACTTCTTTTTAACAATCTTAAATGATGGAGTTTAATATGTGAGAACTTTGCTTCAATACTTTCAATATCACTCTATTTATTTTTCAAATCTAGGGTAAGTTTACACCATTAACCTACCCCATCTCACCCTTTTAATTATTGTTTGATTTGACAATGTGAATAAGCTACTTTCTAACTTTGATACTTTGTTATAATTTTTTTAAAGTTATGCTTCAAAATTGGTAAAGTGATGATGTACACTTAATCTTTCTTTTGCAAGTTTTTGTTCCCTTCTTAAAAAAAAATCAACTTTTTCTCTATATATTCTTATAAGTTATGGAAGGACTTCATATTTGGTGCCTATGAATGCATCTGGGCTCATTCATGGATGGAATAGTTGGGGATAAAGCGAGGCATCTTCAAGTTAATACATGTATTTTCAGATGCACTCACCTACTAGCTTTATGCCTTTCCCCTATATTTATCAGAATATAATGCTTGCCTGCTAGTTTTTTCAGTGGCTTGCAAGTTTGGCTTTTCTGGTACATGCCTTACTTATTTACCAAACTTACTACTCGCAACAATTGTAGCATCTGTCTTTTGTTATTAACATCAAATATTGAAATTAAGATTTGTGTGGAACTATTGATAGTGATGTACCTTAGACTCTAAATAATTTGTGTTTTTTGATATTGATACTTTGTTATAATTTTTTTAAAGTTATGCTTCAAAATTGGTAAAGTGATGACGTACACTTAATCTTTCTTTTGCAAGTTTTTGTTCCCTTCTTAAAAAAAAATCAACTTTTTCTCTATATATTCTTATAAGTTATGGAAGGACTTCATATTTGGTGCCTATGAATGCATCTGGGCTCATTCATGGATGGAATAGTTGGGGACAGAGCGAGGCATCTTCAAGTTAATACATGTATTTTCAGATGCACTCACCTACTAGCTTTATGCCTTTCCCCTATATTTATCAGAATATAATGCTTGCCTGCTAGTTTTTTCAGTGGCTTGCAAGTTTGGCTTTTCTGGTACATGCCTTACTTATTTACCAAACTTACTACTCGCAACAATTGTAGCATCTGTCTTTTGTTATTAACATCAAATATTGAAATTAAGATTTGTGTGGAACTATTTATAGTGATGTACCTTAGACTCTAAATAATTTGTGTTTTTTGATATTGATTATTTTCGGGCTTATATTAAAACGCTCTACCTCAAATCTTGTATCTATTCCG